GGGTCAGTGCACCGGGAAGAGGGCAGATTACAGCTCCTGCTCCCAGGCATTGGCAGGGAGAAAGAAAACCCAGAACATTTTAATTAAGCAATTGTCATTTCTCATTGTTCTAAGTTGGCCACTAATGAATAAGAGTGAACATTTGCTTATTACAGTGCTAACGGTGCTCCATGTACCTTGTGCCCGGCACCCAGTGAGACAGAAGGCAGTGCTGGTCCCTCTTTACAGACAGGAAGCTGAGGCCTGGGCCCAGGTCCAGTGTGCAGCACGTGGCAGAGCTGGGCTCTGGTCCCCACTGGCCTGACCCCAGAGCCCGGCTCCCCCTGCACGTAGAGGACAGTGAAGGGCTGAGGTTGGAGAGCACAGGCAGGGGGAGAGGTTTGTCCATCCACTCCGATATAAGCACGGCCTGAGTCCTCTGTCCAGGTGTAGGGGGAAGGCAGAGGCCTCGGCTCCACTCTGGGACAGCAGAGGGTCCCCTAACGTCCTTTGACGATGGAACAGTGCCTGCCCTGCCTCTGTAGCTGTTGTGAGACCCCCAAGGCCTATGTTGGGACCTAAGAGGTACAGTGAGCGGGTCCTCCATGTCATTGATCAAGCCCTGGGAGAAGCCCTGGGACCCAAAGGCATAAATATCACCCCCCAGGCTCATATGGGGACCATGCCTGCTGCTGGCGGCTCTTGAATGGCGGCTGTGTCACCCTCGTCCCCTCTGCCACAGCTCGCCCTCCACTGCCAGCAGTTCTGGGCCATGTTACTGAAGAAAGCCACATATAGCTGGCGGGAGTGGAAGATGGTGGCGGCCCAGGTCCTGGTCCCTCTGACGTGCATCACCCTGGCCCTCCTGGCCATCAACTACTCCTCCGAGATCTTCGACGACCCCATCCTGAAGCTGACCCTCGGCGAGTACGGCAGAACCGTCGTGCCCTACTCGGTTCCCGGGACCTCTCGGCTGGATCAGCAGCTGTCAGAGCATTTGAAGGACATGCTGCAGGCTGAGGGCCAGGAGCCTCGAGAGGTGCTGGGTAAGGGGCATCCCTGGGGGGCTTGGGTCCCGAGTTGTGCTGTCCAAGCCTGGCTTCTCCACTGTGGCACTGTGGACATTTGGGGCAATTAGTTCTTTGCTGTAGGATGTTTAGCAGCATCCCTGGTATTGCCTCCAGCCCCTGCTACTGTGTTGTGAAAAGCAACAGAGCCTCCAGACATTGCCAGTTGTTCCGTGGGGGAGAAGATCTTTGCCCTGAGTCAGGAAGGAAAAGGCAGCATCTCTAGGGCTGCACTTTGTCCAGACAGTCTTTTACAGGGGTCATATTTTTCAGGACTGTTCATAAATGAAATGTGAAACCTTGACCATCTTTATGTTACCCTTTTTCTGTTTGCGATGGTGGTCATGATATACCTTAATACGACGTGGTGTTTTCTTCCAACATCCTGAAACCAAAACTATGTCAAGTCCCTGGTGGTGGCAGCTGTGGATGCTGCCCTGGGTTTAAAGCAAGCATCGAGCTCTAGCTAAATGGAATGTGTTTGAAGGTTTTCTTGTTTTACTGCTCACCACTGCACCCACCCACCCCACTTCCTGGCCAGCAGCTTTGAGGTTCAGCACATTGATGGTCACGGAATCTTGGCAGGAATCAGGTTCTTCTTTAGGAAAAGGCTGAACATATCAGCATCAAGGACCAGCCCAGAACCACCCCAGAACGGGCCGGCTCTGCCGTGGGCACTGCCGCCAGGCGGGAGCTCCCGCAGCCAGAGTGCCATTCAGCCTGCCAGCAATAAGGGCCCTGAGAAGTCCTGCTGAGACAGTGGTGGGTGCCTGTTTGTCACCTGTTTCCTGGCTGTCACCCAGCCTGGCCCAAAGATTTCATCATGGTGCACAGTGGCTCCAGGGTTTTAAGATGCTGCCATAGGCGCCCCAGCCTGAGTCTGTCTGGAAGGCCAGATTGCCTGCTCCCTCATGGAGTGTGGGCCCTTTCGGTCCTGAGCTCCTTACTGTGTGACTTAATTACACTGTATTTAAGGCGTCTGACCCTTTTCCTTATGTACTGATGGCTACAGTAAGCCTCACCGGAAGTCTTTGTGCCTACGTGTGTTTGGACTCATTGTCGTGTCCCTGTCCCCTCACTGACCCTTGGTCCTGCAGTGTGGGTGTCATCACTGTCCCCAGTTGACAGCGGAGAGGCATTGTCAGAGCAGGGAACTCGTACAGGACTCTGGCTTTGGGCGGTGTGCACAGGCAGGCTGGTAGAACTTAACATGCCCATGGTCACTTGGCGAATGGAGAGCGGACCCCTAGCTCCCTCGTCAGAACCCCCGTTCTCCCCAAGCCACAGCTGAGTGAGAAGTACAGGGAATCTGATGGGTCCATGCAGGGTCAGGGTTCTGTCACTGCCCATGGGTTACAGGAGAATGTCAGACATCTGCCCAGAACCGGAGAATTTAAGACCCAAGGTGGAAATTTGCTGGAGTTCATCCAGGTGACAAAAGAGCAGATCCTTCTCCCTAGGCCTCCTCCCTCGGGCCACTCTTTTTAAACACTATTGTTTTATCCTGATTATAAAAAGGTATTTATTCATTCTGTAAAGATTGAAAAATGAAAAAGTAGAGGGGCAGTCCTGTGTAGCTCGGAGGTAGCTCCTCACCCACTCACGTGGCCCTGAGGGCTGGTCCAAGCCCACCTGGGTCTGCCCCTCCCTGCACCTGAGTGGTCCCTTGGGGACTTTGCCCACCAGGCCACCCAGCAGTTTCAACAGCTCTGCCTTCTAAAACCTCACCTCCTGAGCCAGCCTCCTCCCTGCCACATGGACCCTGATCCAGATCCAGCCCCTGTATCTCTGAGTGTCCTTTTAGAGTGTGTGTGTGTGTGTGTGTGTCTTTAGTGGGTGTTTGTGGGGCAGCAGCTCCTTTGTCTAAGGGGGGCCCCGCCCAAGGCCTATGGCCTGAAGCCTCAGGTCCTGCTGCTCCCACCGAGTGGCTCCCTGGCCGGTAGACAGTGTGCCAGTGGAAGGAGGTGTGTCCTTTCTGTGGTTTCTGCAGCCCTCCTGAGCTCCCCAGAGCAGGGCCTTGGAAAGTGTGCAGGCCTCAGGCTGGTCATCCATGCTGCTAACTCTACCGTTGTCCTCCCAGGTGACCTGGAGGAGTTCCTGATTTTCAGGGCCTCGGTGGAAGGGGGCGGCTTTAACGAGCGGTGCCTGGTGGCAGCATCCTTCAGAGACGTGGGCGAGCACACGGTCGTCACCACCCTGTTCAACAACCAGGCATACCACTCCCCGGCCACTGCACTGGCCATTGTGGACAACCTTCTGTTCAAGCTGCTGTGCGGCCCTCGGGCCTCCATCACCGTCTCCAACTACCCCCAGCCCCGGAGCACCCTGCAGGCTGCCAAGGACCAATTCAATGAGTATGTGCACTGTCCTGCCTGTCAGGACCCCATTCCCATCAGGTCAGGACCCAGCCTGGCCCGGTCAAGACCCTGCTCCCATCAGGTCAGGGCCCCTCATCAGGACTGACCTCCTCAGACACTGCCAGTGGCACCCAAGGGCTGCACAGGTAGATACAGCATTGTTTCTGCCCTCAGGAGGCTCCTGGTTCTGGCCAGGGGACCCCTGCCCCACATCTTCCTCAGCCTTCCACACTCACCCTTTCCCTGGACAGCAGATAAGCTGGTGAGATCCCATCCCATGTACATCAAGGCCCCACAGGAGATTCCTGAGGATTAGGACTTGGAGGGCGGCCGTGCCCTCTCCCCAAATCTGCACCCAGCTCTTGCTGGTGACTGTCCCTGGGGGGGGGTCCCAGTATCTGCTCCTGTCCACCCTGCAGCACCTGACTGTGTGAATGTCATTGCCCCTCGGTGGCCTCAAGTCAGGAAGCCCATTAGTCCTTAGGCTTTGTCACACCATCATGTGTGTAGGACTCTCCCGCATCCTGGCCTCCAAAGCTCTGGGGACCATCCAGAGGAAGCCAGAAAATCCATTAATTTCAGAACAATCACTCCACCTCAGGGCAGGTAATTAACAAAGGCAGTCTCATCTCCACCTCCCATGGTAGTCTGTGTCGTGTGCTGCTGTCCTCTTCCTGTCTGCTACCTCCGGTCCCCACCCCTAAAGCAGAGACGCAGTGGTGATCCTCTGCTCTTGCTGGGCCAGGGATCAGGCTGAGGACTCAGGCTAAGTACGGTGACAGTGGACAAGGAACAGGACTTTTTGCTTTGTTATGACAGCTTTGGGAGATAGAATTCACCTGCCACACAGTTCACCTGTTTATGGTTCACAGCTGAATGTTTTCTAGTGTGTTCGCAGTTGTGGCGCCATCACCACAATATTTTATTGAATGTTTTCATTATCCCCAAAGAAAACCTGTGACCACTGGCAGTCGTCCCCCAGGCATCTCTCCTCTCTCTCTAAGCAGCCACAGTCTGGTTTCTGTCTCCATGGATTTGTCTGGACATTCCATGTAGATTGAATCAGATGATATGTGGCCTTTTGTGATGGCCTTCTTTCACTCTTAGAATTCGTCCACATTACGTCAGTACTTCCCCTTTTTTAGCCAAATAGCATCCATTTGTCCTAGCACCATTTGTTGAAATGGTCAGGGGTGCATGGTGGGTTTAAGCAGCAGAATAATGTGTCAGAGCTGGTTTCTGGAAGGCGTTGCCAGCAGTTGAGTGCAGTGCACACTCGAGAGGGGCACAGGGGACAGATGGAAGTATGGCCCTGCCATAGCTGGGGACAGGAAGTCCAGAGGAGGAGCTGCTCTCAGGGGGACTGAATCTTCCTGGCACGGCACACCCGAGGCTCTGGTGTTTTCCTTTAACCCCTTTAGTGGCTGGGCCACTGCATCGCATGCTTTGGCCAGTGATGGCCGAGGACTTGATCCCCCAGCTGCCTGGACGTGTGTGACCTGTCCCTGACCTGCCCTGCCCACCTCCACCCTCCACAGGGGCCGGAAGGGATTCGACATTGCCCTCAACTTGCTCTTCGCCATGGCCTTCCTGGCCAGCACATTTTCCATCCTGGCAGTCAGCGAAAGGGCCATCCAGGCCAAGCACGTGCAGCTTGTGAGCGGAGTCCATGTGGCTACTTTCTGGCTCTCGGCTCTGCTGTGGGACCTCATGTCCTTCCTTGTGCCCAGTCTTCTGCTGCTGGTGAGGGCTGTGTTGGTGCTAGGACCCTTCCCCTGCACATATATTCGAGAGGCATGCCTGGGGGCCCCTGTGTGGACCAAAACCAGCTTGGGGTCCACGATGACAGCTCAGCCCCTATCCTGGGAGGACGGTTTGGAACACCCTAGCAGCCCCCATCATCTGTCTTCATGCCGCCAACCTCTGCCCCACTTTGATAGGTGGGGCCCTGGAGTGGGTGCCCTGGTGACAGCTCCCTACTTCCTCAGGGAGGGTCCCAGGGCTGAGAGCCGTGGTGGGGGAGAGGGGGAAGGGGGCACAGGCAGCCTGTGGGGTTGATGCACCCCCTGTGGGCCCACCGGCCCGCCCCATCTGTGCTGCTACAGGTGGTGTTCAAAGCCTTTGACGTGCACGCCTTCACACGGGACGGCCACGAGGCCGACACCCTGCTGCTGCTCACACTCTACGGTTGGGCCATCATCCCCCTCATGTACCTGATGAGCTTCTTTTTCTCGGGGGCGGCTACTGCCTATACGAGGCTGACCATATTCAACATCTTGTCGGGCATCGCCACCTTTCTTGTGGTCACCATCATGCGCATCCCAGGTGAGTGCCTGGAGCCTTCCCCCACAACCCTATTCCCACACCTGCATCGCCGCTCTGCCCCAACTGGGGCAGCACCAATGGGGGCACCAGGCCAGGCCATGCTCCAGCCCCCCTGTCCAAGGTGGCCCTGCTCAGCCAGCGTCCATGCACCCCATCCAGCAGCAGAGCAGGTGGAGCCACCTCCTGGAGGTGCTGTCCCAGGAAGGCCTAGAGCCTGATCAGTGGGGGAGGCAGCCAGGGCTGTGTAGGGAGCACTGGGAACTTGCCTTCCCTGTTTTATCTATCCTTGGGGGCAGGTGTGGTGTGTCCTCTAGGTCTAACTGGTCTGGGCATCCTCCCCACAGCGGTAAAGTTAGAAGAACTTTCCAGAACTCTGGACCACGTGTTCCTGGTGCTGCCCAACCACTGTTTGGGGATGGCGGTCAGCAGCTTCTACGAGAACTACGAGACAAGGAGGTACTGCACCTCCTCCGAGGTGGCGGCCCACTACTGCAAGAAATACAGTGAGTGTCGGGCCCTCCCTCGGAGCAGCCCCGTTCTCTCGTCACAGGCACAGGGGCACTTTGCACAGCGAAACCGCCCAAAACGCGGGGGATGCTTGGGGCTCCCGAGTGGCGGGGACACCGTGGGGCCCATCCTCGGAAGACAAGTGGACCCTGCACCTGCACGGCCTCCATCCAGGGGCCCGGGTGCAGGTGCCCAGTGGCCCAGAGAGAGGAGCTGGGACCCCAGTGGGGAGTAGGGTGCTCACAGTCACAGGGGCAGCACCCTCTCCCCCACTTGCACAGACATCCAGTACCAGGAGAACTTCTACGCGTGGAGCACCCCGGGGGTCGGCAGGTTCGTGACTTCTATGGCCGCCTCTGGCTTTGCCTACCTCATCCTGCTCTTCCTCATTGAGACCGACCTGCTGTGGAGGCTAAAGACCTGCCTGTGTGCCTTCCGGAGGAGGCAGGCCCTGGTGAGTGGCTCCTGGGCCTCCCTCTGGGCTCAGGCAGCTCGGCACTGGCCCCCTCCCACTTAGATCACGCTTCCTGGGGCCCCCCGCACAGGGAGGGCCTCAGCACCGGGCCATGGCCGGGGTGCACATCCACCAGCAGCGCTATCACCAGGGACTCAGCTCCGAGACCCTGAAGCTTCGCAGTGGAGGGAGGCTGGGGCCTTGGGGACCTCGGTCTCAGCGGAGGCATATGGGCCAGGGTGCCCTTATGTTTGTCACATACATCCCCTCCCTAAACAATCGAAACCTGCTGAGACAGCATCGGATGTACAGATTAACACAGGATTAACTGGGTCTAAAATGTTAAGAAGTTTTTAGTTTGGTGGTTTTCTCTGTGAGTCTTGTATCGTCCTCCTTCCTCAGGCAATTTGTATCTCCTTGATGCTGATTTCAGCCCTTATGGCCACCCAGCTGTCCTTGTGGGAGGTCTTAGTGGAGCTGAGCTGGGGTGTGGGTCTCAGAGACTTAGCCCTTTCTCCCACGGAAAAGGACCCCTCGGGCTGGAGCTCACCCCTGCTGTCTTTTTCCAAAACAATTAGACAGAAGTGTACACCCAGACAGCAGCGCTTCCTGAAGACCAGGACGTGGCAGACGAGAGGAACCGAATCCTGGCCCCGAGCCTGGACTCCCTGCTTGACACGCCTCTGATTATCAAGGAGCTTTCCAAGGTCAGGAGGGCCCTTCACCCTGGGTCTGCCCCCAGTCCCTGGAAGCTGGTTCCTGGCTGCTGCCAGGCCTCCCCATCACTGTATTTTCTCCCGGGGACTTTGCAGGTATACGAGCAGCGGGTGCCCCTTCTCGCCGTGGACAAGATCTCCCTCGCAGTCCAGAAAGGGGAGTGCTTTGGCTTGCTGGGTTTCAATGGAGCTGGGAAAACCACAACTTTCAAAATGCTGACCGGGGAAGAGACCATCACTTCTGGGGATGCCTTTGTTGGGGGCTCCAGCATCAGCTCTGACATCGGGAAGGTGAGTGCAGCCAGGGAGGCAAGAAAGGGGGCTTGTCTCTGTCACCGTTCATGGACAGCAGGCAAGGCAGTGACCAGGGGCCAGAGCTAAGCCAGCGATGGGGAGGAGAGTAAGGAGAAGACTAGAGCTTCCTCAGCCAGAAGGGACCCAGCCTGGCTGGCGAGCTGAGGCTGGGTCCCTCCCAGAGAAGCTGCTTCTCTGGACCTGAGCAGAGTGGTGCCCCCAACTCTGCCCACAAAAAAGAACTCCATTCTGTGTGCAGAGATTTATAATGATGGTGTCCTGGGCTGCTGAGACCCGGCATCCTACTGAGAACGAGAAGCTAGATAAAGTGTTAATGATAAACTATGTCATTAAGAGCATCGAAGAGCCCAAGGCATGGTGAGGACCTCCAGCCAAAATCTGTGAGCCCTGAGAGGCTGCACCTCGGCACAGAAGGTGCACTGTGGGCCAGGCAACTCAGGCAGCATGGGGGACTTACTAAATGTAGGGGGCAGAAACAAAAGCCCAGGGCCCCCATGGAGGGGTGTGATAGTAAACCTTCCCCACGTGGGGCTGAGCCCCAAAGGCCACCTTTCTGGGTAGGGATGAAGCAGGCCATCCTCTCGCTCCCCCTGCCCCTGGGGATTGTGTGGAGGTTTTCCTATGTGCTGAGCAGGGGCTCCCAGGCAGCTATACCCTCAGACTGCAGCACACACCCTCTCTGGAGGAAGGCTTCTATCCCAGGCATCAAAGAACCCCCTGCGTAGTGTGGAGTAGTGAACAAGTGAAAACAAAGGAGACAAAGCACCGTGGCTGGAGCCCACAGACACAAGGGCTCCAAGGGAGAAAGAGGCCCACCACATTGGATTTGCAATGACTGGACCCAGATTGTAAAACAACTCAGGTTACTGTGTTTAAAGAAATACAGAAGATTGAAAATATATGCAAGAAGGAGAAAGGTGTAAATGTGATCTGGGGAACAAGAGGCAAGAGTGAGAAGTCCTAAATACATTTAACCTGAGCTCCAGCAGGAGAGGAGAAAATGGGGAACAGGTAGTAACTGCTAAGGTCGTGGCCAACAACTTTTCCAAGTCAATGAAGAACAGATTCTGGGAGCCTAAGAACCCCAAGGAGTGTAAAGAAAAAGAAACCCCATCTCTGGAATCCCGAGAACCCAGGCTTGCCCATCCTCCACCGGCTGCTGAAGGTGGCTAGAGACGGTGGTGTGGTCATTTGCCCAGACCAGGCCCCACCCCAAAGGTGTTGCCAGCAAATATCTCTTAATAGAAGGAGGAAAAGAAAGGTCCCAGCACACATTAGATGTTTGTTGAATACAAGTGTGTATCTATCAGCTGCAAAGCAATGCGTGGGCATGATTTCTTTGGATGCTGAGTACATTCTTGGACCAGTCCACCCCCATGCTGCCCATGGGTAGTTCAGCCGGGTATCCTAGGAGTCCCTGCTCCTCAGAGTGTTGACGCTGTGCCGGACAGAGTGGGCCTTGCTCCCGGCATCATCCCACCAGCGTCTTCCAGAGGCGGCCAGCAAGGGGAGGGGGACAACCCTCCGTTCCCTCTCCCCAGCATGGAGGAGTGTGAGGCCTTGTGCACCCGGCTGGCCATCATGGTACAGGGTCAGTTCAAGTGCCTAGGCAGCCCGCAGCACCATCTGTGACCCCTTGGTATGTGGCAGTCTGGGTGCCAGTGCCCCCTGGCCCCTGAGCTGGCCAAGTCCCTCCCATGTCCCCACATAAGTGTTGTTAGGGGAGCTTCAGCGGAGGGCGGTGCCAGGGCCTGGGCACTGGCTGATGGACCACCCTGGACAGATCCACAGACAGAAACCCTCTGACCTGCTGCCTACTGGCTGTGTTCTAACCCCAGGTGCGGCAGCAGATCGGCTACTGCCCCCAGTTTGATGCCCTGCTGGACCACATGACGGGCCGGGAGACACTGGTCATGTATGCCCGGCTCCGGGGCATCCCTGAGCGTCACATCGGTGCCTGCGTGGAGAACACGCTGCGGGGCCTGCTACTAGAGCCACATGCCAACAAGCTAGTCAGGACGTACAGGTGCACCTGCGCCCTGGCCCCTCCCATGCCCCCTGACTCAGTGACCCCAGGTCTCTCTTACCACCGGGAGGTGGTACACAGGTCAGGGGCTGGAGCTCCTACCCACTGTTCCAGGATCAACAGGGATTTGGTAGCATGACCCAGGCAACACCAGGTGAGAGGGACTGCCACCTGGAGGCAAGGGCAGCACAGGTGATGTCAGGGCCCCAGTCAGGCCCCCTTAGGTGGAGACAGGTGATCTAACTGTTCTTTGTGTGGCTGTGGACCAACCCCCAGGGCACAGCTCTCTCTAGAGCCTTCAATTCCATGAGGTTGGCTTTCCAGGCATGCTTACCTCATTCCTCTTCACCTGGGGCACTCTGCCATCACTGGGCCCAGTCCTCTGCTGGGACCTGGGGATCCCACACTAATCGGCCTTGCCTTCCCCTGCACCCCATCTGCTCCAGCGGCGGCAACAAGCGGAAGCTGAGTGCTGGCATCGCCCTGCTTGGAGAGCCTGCGGTCATCTTCCTGGACGAGCCGTCCACTGGCATGGACCCCGTGGCCCGGCGCCTGCTCTGGGATACCGTGGCAAGAGCCCGAGAGTCTGGCAAGGCCATCATCATCACCTCCCACAGGTAGAGCCAGGGTCTCTGTGGGTCAGTGGAAGAGCATCCCATGGGGGTTGTGGGAGGGACTGGGTGGACAGAAGACCCATCAGCAGCTGGTGAAGAGTCTGTGAGGAGAGTCCCCAGGCTCTATCGTGTGGGCATGGGAATCAGGAACAGTGTGATTTGGGCATCGACGCTTTCCCATGTGCACAGCTTTTGACGTGGAGGGCGGGCATCAGCATCCCCCAGTGAGATACCAGGCCTCTGCCCCCTCTCCCCAGCATGGAGGAGTGTGAGGCCTTGTGCACCCGGCTGGCCATCATGGTGCAGGGTCAGTTCAAGTGCCTAGGCAGCCCCCAGCACCTCAAGAGCAAGTTTGGTAGCGGCTACTCCCTACGGGCCAAGATCCGGAGCGATGGGCAGCAGGAGGCCCTGGAGGAGTTCAAGGCATTCGTGGACCTGACCTTCCCAGGTGTGTGCCACTGTGCAGAGGGTGTCTGTGCATCTGTCCATCCCTGACCCCCAGGATGAGTGCTGTGATTTATGGGCCCAGGCCCCCCTCCCCTGGCCCTCCAGTCTAACCCTCACGGGGACACGGTCTCTCATTTGTGCAGGCAGCGTCCTGGAAGATGAGCACCAAGGGATGGTCCATTACCACCTGCCTGGCGATGACCTCAGCTGGGCGAAGGTGATCTTGGGCCCCCACCAGGCCTCAGCTGTATCTAGGGTTGGTCCCTCCAACAATCACTCCTATGGTGATTCCAAGCTCTTTCCAAGAAGGAATCCCTTTCAGTTTTTGCTCTAACACTCACCCTAGTAACTGCTAGGTTTGGGGGTTTATATCTGAAATATTTGAGTTGGAAAAAATTTGATGCAGAAAAGGAAACTGACCCAGAGAGGGAACACAGCTTGCCCGAGGTCATACTCTGAGCGGGGAAGACTCAGGACGAAGCCTGCTAACCACCTGCAGCCCACCTTCTCTCCCTGAGAGCACACGCCCACTCCCCATGGGTGCTCCAGAGGCCAGGCTGGGGCAAGGGTAGGATCTCTGGGGCCCTTACCACCCTTTATGGCCAGAGGACTCCCCAACCAGCCGAGGAGCCGGGCCCTGGCTTGTTAACTGTGGGTTTTCTGCTTCCCAAAGGTGTTTGGTGTTCTAGAGAAGGCCAAGGAGAAGTACGATGTGGACGACTACTCTGTGAGCCAGATCTCGCTGGAGCAAGTCTTCCTGAGCTTCGCTCATCTGCAGCCGCTCAGCGAGGATGAGGGGCCGTGAGGAGCCAGGCACACAGGTGGGCGTCCTCTCCCTGTGAGTTCACCTTATCCTGCACCCTCAATTTTGATCACTGTTTTCTATGATGGATTTGAGAATCAAGGCACAGTATGGACCGGGTGTACCGGTGCCCTCACACTGGGAATCAGCATGTGAACATCCATGTCTCAGGCAGTCGCCGAAGCCCACTCTCCAGAACTCCAGATCCCAACCAAGAGCAGATCCGGCAGTCTGTGCGGGCAAGTCAGGGGGTCTTTGGGCGGAAAGCCATCCAGGAAGAGGCCTCACTGACCTGAGGAGAGCACCCAGAGACACCCCCATGTTCACACCTGGCTCAGAGCTCCCCTGGGATGAAACAGGAAGCCAGCAAGACAGATGGCACCTGGCTCACTAGGCTGCCCAGAAGGAACAGAAAGTCACCTGTCGCCATCCTCAGGGGACATGTGGCTGGATCAGGCGCTGAGGTCTTGGCTTCCAGTTCAGCGGGGTGTCCTGGGAGTCCCTGCTCCTCAGAGCGTGGACGCTGCCCCGGACAGAGTGGACCCTGCACTGGGCATCATCCCACCAGCGTCTTCCAGAGGCGGCCGGCGAGGGGAGGGGGACAATCCTCCGTTCCCTGAGAAGCCAGGGTCCGGGAGGCCAGTTGGGAACCACTGCCGGGCTGAGCGGCCATCCATGAAGGATGTACCTGATGCGTGGTAACTGTCTGGAAAATAAAGGTTGGGAGGGAACACGGCTGTGGTCTGTGAGTCACAGGATGGGTTCCCCAGCCCAGTCACTCACCCACACCACAACACAAACCTGCTGTATCAAGTTTCACAGACAAAAGCAAGAGCTTGTTTTCCCAACATGTAGTAAACTTGCAGAACTCACTGCCATGAGGTAAAGGAATCAGCCAGAAATGCAAGTGCAAAAGCAGGTCAGATAAATGGCCACCAACAGACCCTTCATCCACAGCAGGAAGAGAAGAGTGTAGGGTGGGCGTAGGAGGGTGCGGACCCGGGTGGGCAGGAGGCCTCTGGCTCCAGGGCCATTCATGGGCTTTACACGCCATTTTCCAGAAGAATCTTCTTCAGCGTCAGCTGCCTTTTTATTTACTCACTCTCATTTCTTTCAGCTTTCTGAATTTCCGTGATTTGAATCCCTGTGCCTTTTACATTCCCTTAGAATTCATAATTTAGAAAATACTTGTTTTCATCACTCTGGTTCATTTGCTACAGTTTCAAATCTGCATTTTCCTCAGTCTCTCAGAGTTTTTTTTTTAACATTGATTTGATTTTTTAAAATTTTTTATTGAAGTATAGTCAGCTTACAGTGTTGTGTTAATTACTGCTGTACAGCATAGTGATTCAATTTTATATATATTCCTTTTCATATTCTTTTTATTATAGGCTATTATAAGGTATTGAATGTAGTGCTATACAGTAGGACCTTGCTGTTTACCTACTTTATATATAGTAGTTAACATCTGCAAGTCCCTCAGTGTTTATGAACGCTGCACATAGTTTCCATTAGCTTTTTTATTTCCTTTAAAATTCTTCAAACTATCATCATTAAGTTCCACATTATAAAAAAACACAGGAGTCGCTGCGGTCCTAAACGTTGCCCAACAGAAAACACCTTCCAAGAAGTGGGCTGAGACTTGTCTGCAGGTGCTGTGGTGCTGCGGCCGTGTTGGGTTTGCCAGGTCTAGGAGGAGGGCAGAGGCCAGCACAGCCTGGCCACACATCCCCCAACAGCCCTACTGCAGCACATCCTGGCCTTGTTTTTAAGCCCACTTGTTAAAGATTTAGAAATTTATCATTTTTCTCCTTTGATGCCACAAAACAGCACTGAAGGAACAGCATATGTCAAGCACACACACATGAAATCAGACTGCACTAGCCCAGGGAGAAGTGGGTTTGTTGATGGGAGATAAGGTGGAGAGGTTGGTGCAGAAGAGATGGGAAGGACGAAAAGCAGGGGCTGTCATGATCAGAAATCCCTTTTGGAAGACAACTTGGCAGCTATGGAGAGGATGATGCAGGCACAGCCAAGGCTGCAGCAGCGGGGACCTGAGGGGAGGCACACGGCACAGTCAGGGGAGAGCCCGGAGGACTCTGGGGCCTGTGGGAGGAGCCCACGACTGCACCCACATGTGGAGCCTGGGCAGCTGCAAGAGAGACACTTAGGAGGGACCCCAGGAGCAGCAGAAAAGGGCACTGCTGCTAGGGTCCATGCAGTACCCCTGGGTCATCTGCGAGGCTGCTGGAAACCCAGCATTGGAGCCAACTGTCTTCAAGGAGCCAGGATTGGGGCCTCAGAATCCCTGCCCCCCAGCCCTGGCAGCTTTGGTTTGAGCTCAGGGGTGGGGCGGGACCTTCGACTCCCTGACAGGAGAGTGTACCTGGTTTACTCCTGCACCCATTCCTACTCCACTCTACTTAGACCTCTGGGCCCAGACGGTCCCTGGAGATGCTGGTCCCAAAGAGCTGCTGCATCTGCCGGGTGAGGCCGTTCTTGGGGACTCAGCTCCTGCACTGCCACCAGCAGCAGTTAGGAGACCCAGGAGCCAAGGTCGTGCCTTCCCTTCCCTGCACAGCCTGGTCCAGGGCTCCCAAGGGGCAGAGACCATGTCAGGGCCTGCCCTGTCCTGCCCAGTCCTGCCCTCAACTGAGACAGGCAGTGGACACGTGGATAGTCCTGCAGTCTGACAACTGTACCCAGAACCAAAAGCCCCTGTGAGGAGGAAGGAGAGCAGGCTCGTGGGGAGGGTGGGGAGACCCCACTATGGGGTGGGGCCTGAAGGCCGAGCCCCTCCACTGCCTTCACCGTAGGGAAGGGCTGCCATGCAGCAGGTCACAAGTCAAAGAGACCCACCCCCAGGCCACAGGAACAGCTCCGCCCAAATGAAGACTTCGCAGTGGTTTAAAAAGATGAGTTTATTTCTCTGCCAAGTACAAAGTCCACAGAAGGCAGTCTGGGCACTCTGGTCAAGGTCTCAGGGAGCCAAACTCCATCGGCCTGCTCCATCCAGGTGCAGGCCTCCCTCCTCAAGGTCACCTCTCAGGGTCCAAGGTGCCACCAAGACTTCCACATAGAATGAACAGGAAGCAAGGGGAGGAGCAGGAGGGCACAGCTCCTGGGTGTCACATGCTTCCACGCCCATTGCATCATCCAAAACACAGGCACGTAGCTGCCCCACAGGCAGCTGGGACACGCAGTCTTTTATTAACTGGCACCCAAAAAAACTCAGACACCAGGACACAACCGCAATCCCTGCCATGACTGTAGTGGGCAGGCTAGCCTCCCCAGTGAAGTGGTCCCCCCAGCGGACTCATGCATGCCTTTATTGTCCACCTGAGCTGGTGAGACCCCACCTCACCCAGGAGGACCTGGTTATGGCCACTTCTGCTGGTCTGTGGCCACATCCTAGGGCCCACTTCCCCATCCCCCACAGAGGACCCTAGCCCTTTGGTCGTAGGGGCTCAGAAAAGCAAAACACACTGGACGGTTTCTTTCTCGGTAAATTCCAATCTTTAGTCCGGGACTCAAGGGGAAGCCAAGGCCATCCAAGTCCCAGGGACCCCTGGCCCAGTCTCACAAAGCAGCAGACAAGACTGAGGCAGGGAACCCAAGATGAAGGAGTGAGCAAAGGCCAGCACCTGGAGGGGAGGCTGGAAGGCAGGTCCAGGGGTGGCCACAAGCTCTCTGGGGATAACCACACACATCAGGTGGAGGAGGAGCTTGCCCTGCCTGCCTGGACTGGACTGACACACCACCAGCCCAGCCTGAGCTCACTTAATTCCTTGAACACACAGAGGCAGTGACATCCTAAGGCTCCAAGGCAGTCAGACTTGACACCTACAGGGCCAGAGCCTGGGGACAAGGGAGAGAGGGTTCCAAAAGCCTAGCCCCGGGGCTAGCCCACCAGCCAGGGCAGCTGATTCCTGCTGCTCCAACTGAGTGACACCCCATGACAGCTGCTGTTCAGCTCACCTCTGGGGAGCAGCACAACATTCACAGCATAAGCTGGCAAGGCCCTCTGGGGACCCCCCTCTCACACAGTGTTAAGGTCAGTGCCGCCCACGCTCACCCAGACCCTGCTGGCTGTGCTACGGATCAGAGCCCCACCTGCAGGCAGAGGGACATTCCTGGGATGTAAGCCTGGGTTCACCTGGGTCCACCTGGGTCCAGAAGGATTAAACTCTACCCACTCTTGCATCAAGGAGATGGCACAAAGGGGTTCCAAGAGGTAACCCCAACACCAAAGTCAGGGTTAGGCTGCTTACCTGACCCTACAGCTGAGGCCAGCAGGCCAAATACACAATATTCCACCCCCTCCAGACACAAGGCCCAATTCCCTGAACCCTGACTCAGGTCCGCCCCCAAGTCCTGGAATGTTCAAGCCCCCACAGAACCCCTCCCTTCCCCAAGGGCAGGGCACCCTAAGGGGACATTCAGAAGGGGGGTTCAGGGTATGTGGCCTGGGGACTGCCCAAGAAGGGGCACCAAGACAGCAGTCCCAACCCCCACAGAAGCCCAAGGAGAAACAGCCAGGAAGCAGCACAGCCCTGGGCCCCGGAGTCTCATCCCCACCTGATGGGCACACGTGGCCTAGGCTTTGAGCAGGCTGCAGAAGGGGCTGAAGCTGGGGGTCGGGCCCGGGGAGCGGGGGCCCTGCCTTCCTTCCTCAATACACGGGGCTGCCCAGGCCCCGCTCCTGGGGCCCGGCCCACACCTCACAGATGCCACGTCAGATGCCTCCAACGTCAGAGAAGCCCCAAATCCACTGGCTGCAGATGGCCAGAGGTGGGCCTGGGAGCAGCCAGAGGCCAGGGCGGCTCACCCAGCACTGTGGCACACCGGCTTTCCTTCTCTGTCAGTTCTGGCCGGGCCCCTCCTAAGCCCCTGTGACAGCTCCAAGGTGGGCAGCTTAGGGATTACTCTGCTTGACCTCCTCAGGGCAGAAGTGGACATGGGGCTTTAAGCATGAAAACAAGCTCCCAAGCCCACTGTTCAGCAGCCCCTGGCCCTGCGGCACCCCCAACACCCCCACACCTTGGAGACACAGCTCACCTGGAGCTGGGGAGGCCTCACCACAGCTCCAGACCCTAACTGGCTGGTTGGCCCTTTCAGACCCAGGCTGACCAGTCAGCACCTCCTCCTGGGCGCCTTCAGGGGCTACAGGTAGCCCCACAGATAGGAGCCAGGTCTTGTTGACACACCTCCTCTTCTAATGCCTCATCCAGGGTCACCAAGCCATCATGACTTCCCTGACCCCACCCAAACCCCTTTCTTCCACCTGGCTGGGCCATGCCCACCCTTGGCACAGAGTCTGTCAGCAATGGGTTGAAGTGCTTCTTTGACATCATTTACAAGGGGATGCAATGCCTGCTCATAGCTCCTGTGTGGCCCACTGTGACCTCCAACCCAACCCAGGTCATTCCTGACCTTTTTGGTTTTTTCCAAACAATTCCTTTTTGTTTCTCTGTTATTGTTGTTTTTGGGGGGGTGTTTATTTTCTAATGGAGGTACTGGGGATTGAACCCAGGACCTCGTGCAAGCTAAGCACACACTCTACCACTGAGCTCTACCCTCCCCACCCTGATCCTTTCAGTGTGCCAGGTTACCAGCCTCCAAGGGCAAGCACTGCAGAGGCCATCAGGCCCACAGAGGATAAAGGCAGAGGGAACATCCTGCCTTGGTGGGTATGCTCTCAAAATGAGTGCAGCCCCACATCATCAACAGGTGGCCCTCGGCCCTGGGGGAAAAGGGAAGGGAGCTCAAGACAGTGGCCAGAGCCCGAAGGATGCATGTGGTGTAGAGCTCCAGCCCTGGGGCCAGCTGCCCATTGCCCTGCCCACAAGAGCCCTGACCCACCTCCTCCATCAAACTGGGCCAAAGACTTCCTGAGGTCTTCAAATGCCACAAATCCCAGTCCCTCAATCCCCATGGCCTCAGCAGGTTCGCACTGGGAGCTGGGATGGGAGAAACTCCGGATTCCTGGAAGGCTGGGGTCAGGGGACATCCAGAGTTTTATTTTCTCATGTTCTTTCCAAATACATTCTCCTGATTCTCAAAATGGCAAAAGCCAAGATGCTCAAATTTTAATGCTCAACAGCTGATAACACACTTGATAATAAAATCAACAATATTTAGAAACAAATTTGATTAAATTCAAAAGGGGTTGAATAAATCATGCTTTTAGACTTAATATAAAATGTGTTAAAAATATATACGCATGCCAAATTATATTATTTTAGAGCATTAAAAAAAAACACCAGAAAGGGCTGTCAGCCCAGCAGGCTGTGTCCCCACCCTCCATTCACCATAGTGGGGATAACTCGTCTGCCCCATTGTCACTGGGTCCCAGGGCAAAGGCCTTTCTGAATTTGGGGCCTTTCAGGCACACACTGACTTGGCCCAGGATGTGTGGGGCTCTCATATGTTGTCATGGCCCCCACACAGACCTCCAGGTGCTGCAGGCTGGCCCACCAAGGCCACACCATCCCCAGCACCAACCCTCTGGGCCCCTGCACCACTACAGGGCCAGAACTGTCCTCCTGTTCACTTCTGCCTCTATGCGTGACCACAGCAGATGTCACAGTGATGCAGGGAATTTAACTTGCTCTAAATGCTCCACCTCCCCAAATCTAAATCCAAAGGGAGAACTAGGACCCAGACTGACTCTGCCTGCCAACCCCCACCCCCAGGAGTGTGTTGGTGCCTCAGCAGAGAGGACTCAGGAGGCAGGCTGCTCCTCCTGGGCTGTCTTTTGTCCCCAACTCCTCAGACAACCCTCAGCCCAGGGTAAGCTGTTAGCAGCACACTTGACACTGCTGGACAGGGCCAGACAGACTGGACCATGGAAACGAGTCACCATCCACTGGCTGGGAAAATCACACAGAGCAGAAAGCAATGACTTGCAGACTGCAAACAAAGCACCATCCATCCATCCATCTAGGGGCAACAAGCTGCATTGTCTCTTTCCTGTCCTTTCCCCTGATATCTAATCCATCTCCAAGTCACACTGGTTCTTTCCCCGCAAAACAGCACCTTGGACCTGTTCCCTTGTCTTCCTTGCTGCACCTACCTATTCAGACAGTGTCTGGGCCAGGGTGCGCCTTCCTTCCTCCCACTAACAGTCAGTCAGCACTGATTGCTTGCCTGGCACAGCTTTGGGAGGGGAGGTACACTGAGGTAAACAAAACTCGGGAGCCCTGGCTCCTCAATGCAGGGTTTTACTCCGACAGCCTCCTGCCTAGTTCTGGGCCTCTAATCCTCACCTCTCCTGCCTTTGCCAAAAGGGTCTTGACAGTGCCTTCCAGCCTGCACCGTCCACCCGCTGGGGGATGAAGCCTTGGCACTGTATCCTGCACATCTCCCAAGTTGCCCCGCCCCCAACAGAGAAACTCCACCTTCCGAGCCCCGGCCTTCAAGCTGCCGCACTGACCACACCGGCCTCCCTTCGCTTCTTCCAGAGAGCCTCCACATCTTTGTACCTGCTGTTCTTTCTCACTGCCGAGTGCGCCCTTCCACTCGAGTCATAGCTGCAGTGTCATCTCCTCAGAAGCGCCTCCCCATCTGCACCTTGTCTTCTATCTGCCTTTTGCTGCCCTTTCGTTCTGGTTGCACTGCCCACTGTCTTCTCCCCCCCAGCCAAGATCGGCTGGCGCAGAAGCTGCGTCTACGCGGTCACCCTTCACACCACCAATGGTTTTTAACCGCATGAACCCATCCCCGCAACGGCCTGGCCCTCTGAGTCGCCTCTACCCTGCAGGTCCCCATGGCCGGCCGCAAGAGGCCGCAGCGCCCGCAAACGCTCCAGCATCCCCACTGCCCCGCGGCCCAGCCGCGCTGGGCGCGAAGCTACTGGGTCTCGACCACAGTGCCCTGGGATGCCGCCAGGCGCGCCGCTAACCCAGTGCGCGTGCGCAAAGCCAGGGGCGGGGTCGCGACCTCGTTAACATTCTCCGAACTAGCCCTCAAGCTTCCCACATGGCGCAGCCCTCCCAGCCCCAGCAAGCTGCCAATTTTCCGGCCCCACGAGGGGCGCAGCCAGCCTGAGGCAGCCCCAGACATCCCTCCAGAGAGGGAGACAGAGTAAGCACCCCGACGCTGTTTGCCACAAACGGCCCTGGCCCTTTAACACTCCCTTCGCTCGCGCCCATTGGCTAAGGCGGTCTACGTCATCGCTGCGCGCCGGACGACGGCGCCTTCCCGCTCCCTAATCCTGACGACAGAGCGGCGCCAGCCTCAGCGGCTGAGGAGAGCGGGACGAGGTCGCGGCGGCGGGAAGATGTAAGTTGTGGGAATCCGACCCCATCCGAGCTTCGGGAGCCACCCACTAGGCTTGGCTGGGCGCATCGTGGAGCCCGCCCGTCTCCCGGTCCCGCGGTGGCAACGGCAGCCTGGCGGCGCAGCGCAGTGGCTGAGAAGAAAGAGTGTGGCCCGGGGCGGGCTGAGTGGGAGGCGCCGAGGCCGCGGCCCGGAAGTGGTCGAGGCTGCGGCGGGCGGAAGGGTGCCCTCGCTTCGTCCGCTCTGCGGCGGGCCCAGTGAGGCCCGCGGGATCCGGAGCAGCCGGGACCCTGGCCTCTGTCCTCAGGGCCCTCTCGTCGGGCTGGAGACCCAGGCCCGCATCGCCGGGCGCTGCCCTGGAAGTGCTCGTGGCCTGGCGCCTGGACTGGGGAGTTGTGAGTGAACGCGGATGGGGGGCGGCGAGGTCGCGTGCAGGGCCGGTGCCGGTGGGTGTGGAGTTGCTTTATAGGATGCCCTGGATCCTCCCTTCGAATTCATTAACTTAAACATCGCCCCCAGGAAAGTTTGCCGGGCTCCTGAGGGCTGTTCTCATATCCTTGGGGATACACCCGCTAATGTCTTGGAGCTCAGTTCGGCCGTTTAACCCAGAAGGGAGGATACGGGAAGGTTAAAACCATTGGAGGAGAGACATGGCTTTTCTATTTTGTTATTTCACATGAATTGTACCTGAAATGTCCTTTTAAATGGGGAAGGTGCTCTGAAGATGTGACCTGAAACGCCATCTACTCGAAACTTAACTAATTGTTCTCTCTCTCTGGCTGTTGGACGCGCACCTTTCCGGAGGACGGGGGAGGTAACCAAGGTCCTGTGCTGTTACCTGAACTTATGTAAACAGAGAACTTCAACCTTTGCTTTCTACCACTCAGGCCCCACCCAGCAAAGCGTCTTAATTTTTAGGATTTTAAGAATCACCGGTGGTGCTTGTTTTTACAAAGTTTCACAAAGATCTGCATCCGGGCAGATCTTTAGGACCTGAATGGGGCCCAGGAATCTACACTCTAGTTCAACTGTTCATTGAGTCAGTAAGGTAGCCATTTGCCACACATGGCTGTTGAACACTTGAAATATACCTAGCCCCAACTGAAGTGTTTAAAAGACTTAGTGGTGGGGGTTTGTGTGAATTTTATGAATAAATGTGTATACTGATTGGTGAAAAGGTAGTATTTGGGGTATACCGTGTCAAATACTTTACTGAAAGTTATCTTCAGTCTTTAACGTATAGCTTTTGTAATGTGGCTCTTTGAAAATTTGGGGGTACACTTGTAGTTTGTTCTCTATTGGACAGTACTGCTCTTGGTGATCCTAATGGGGGCGGTCCAGGGACCCTTGCTGAGCATTCAGAGATGGTGTGTAACCTTACAGTCGAGAGATTATGTGGGAAAAGAACCTCCAAAGCCTTTGTTCTAATATTAGCTAGCGTTTATTGAGCCTTAACTAGGTGTTAAATCTCTTTTATGGGTTAATTTGATTAGTGTTGTTAACTATGAATTGTAGGAACTGTATGTGTCACCATAATGCTAATGACAAATAGAGGCTCAGAAAGGTTAAGTGATTTTTCCAAGATCACACAACAGAGCTTTGAGTCAAACCCAGGCAGGCTGACTCCAGACTCTTAACCACTGAATCATACTCACTGATTGTCCAGGGACACCAACCTTATTTACTGTTGCCTGCTCAGTATTTATACCTTACTGCTTTAAAATAAAACGTCTTAAAAGATTTTATGGTCCTGGAAAAGAGCCACAAAGGTGATACTCTGTTCTGCACTCTCATTTGATTGTCCACAGCTGGATGCTCTTTCTTGAGTCAGAATGTTTATTCAGCATTTTGGCACCACTACACATGTATAAACAAGATCCCAATTGATGTTCTGTGTTCAGGTTATTTATAGGCTGTTGAGGAAGGTGGAATAGTAGTACTCGAGGCTAACATCCTGAGCTCTTTGCTCAAGCAAATTGTACAAAACCTTACTGGAGATATTAAAGGGAGCGGTCCCCAGGGAACAGGCACATAATGAATTAATAATTTGTTCTTGAGTAGTATTTACTAATGACCATTTACCGAGCACATATTGCAGTTCAGGCACTTAGCTAAACCCTTAACATGCCATAACTCATCCAATTTCAGTGTTTACTTCTTCCTAAAAAAAATTATTTTTGAAAAAATCTGAATGTACAGAAAAGTTGGGGAAAAATTGTGCGTTGAATATCCACGTAACCACCTCCTAGATTCTACAAGTTACATCTCATATTTGCTTTATATCTAGCCACCCATCAATCTTACTGCATTTCAAAGTAAATTGCAGGCTTTGGCATACTTCCCCATAGTACTTCCATGTGCATATCATTAAAGTTCAGTGTTTACAATGGCTAGTTACTAATGTGTTATTTTTATTACTATTTTAATGTTCATAGAGGACGTTTTATTTGTTTGTATTTGGGTATTAAATGTTTTGACGCTGGTACCAGTCACTTTTGAAATGGTTTTTGCTTCCAGTCATATCATATATCCAATGTATCCTACAAAGAAATTACAGCAATGAAACGAGAGATCTAATGCTGTTGGTAATCCTATCAGTTAGGTTTTTCTCTGTTCTGCATGTAAATGCGGTGCTGTAGTATTTCTAAAGGGCTGTAGAGGGCTCATCATCCAACTGATGAGTGAAAAAACAGGTATTGAACCACCTGTAAATTAACAGTGATGGGCATCACCACTGTTTCCTTAAGAAAAAGACTAGCCGAGATGACAGTTCTACCTGTGCCTTCTATGGGGGTGAGATCCTCCCTGAGGAAATGGTGATGGTCCCCTGCATGTTCCCAGCTTTGTGGGTGCTTGCTGCTTACTGTGTTCCTTGCTGCCTTTTGTGCTGAGCTTTTGACTGCAAAGTGGATTTGTTGCCTTGCCAATTCGTTTACTCTGTAAATCCTTTTATCTTGTTATTAGGCTGCACTTTGGCGTAAATTGCAATCGATTAGGGATCGTTTCTCAGACTCAAGTTAGAAGTGAGAGTTCAGATAAGTGAGGCCGCCATTGCTGCTTTGAACACCTCAGAAGGGGAGAATGGATTTATCAGGAGTGAAAAAGAAGAGCTTGCTAGGAGTCAAAGAAAATAATAAAAAGTCCAGCACTAGGTAATCCTTCTGTCAGATTTTTCTAGTGCTACTTTGGGGGTGTTCATTACTAGGACCCTCAGAAAGGGGAAGATTGGAATTGTCTTGAATTTTACAGTGAAAGTGTCCTAAGCCACAGATCATTTTGCTCTGTGATTGCCTGGGATTTCTGTAGCCCTTTGGATCCCCCTTTGGGTTTGCTATTGTTTCAGGGTCCAGTCAAAGAGGCATCTATCTCACACTCTTCCTCACTATCCAGGGCTCCTTCTCCTACCAAGCGCAAAGACCGCTCTGATGAGAAGTCCAAGGATCGCTCTAAAGATAAAGGAGCCACCAAGGAGTCAAGCGAGAAGGATCGTGGCAGGGACAAAACTCGAAAGAGGCGCAGTGCTTCCAGTGGTAGCAGCAGCACCAGGTGGGGCTGATGGGTTAGAGCACTACAGGGGCCTCACTTCCACACCTGCTATGTCTTAAGTATTTACAAAGAAAACATACTCAGATTATTAAGAGAGACTCTAATTTATGGCAAACTGGTTTGGGGTTTGCTCTGATTCTATATAGAAGATGGTGTTGGGGTTTTTTTCTTTTCTAGAGATGTTGAGGAGTGGGACTCCCTGGGATGTTTTTCTCTCAAGTGCTTTTTATTTGGACTTGTCATTGGATTGCCCTAGGCTCGAGCTCCCTTTTCCTTCAGTTGAGCCTGGTTCAGTCAAGTAGCTGCCTTCCAAGCAGAGTTGGTGGTTCTGATTTGTCAGGCTCCTTCTTTACCTCTCAGTAGGCAAGGCTTCTGTATAAGAAGGAAGCAGCTCATTCTTCCTTTCCTGTTACTGCACAATACAAATGCTATCTTATGTCCTTACCTAGGGCTTTGGCTTAGGGTGGGGATTGGGGGATGTAAATGTTCTCCCCGCTGGGGAAAGCAGTGAGGCTTGAAAATACAAGGGCAGCGGTTTCCTCTTGGGAGCACCTGCTGGCCTATCTGTGCTGTGAAGCAGTGCTGCTCCCATGACTGTTGTCCATGACCTCCTGCATCTCTCCCCTCAGGTCTCGGTCCAGCTCTACCTCCAGCTCGGGCTCCAGCACCAGCACAGGCTCAAGCAGTGGCTCTAGCTCATCTTCGGCATCAAGCCGCTCAGGAAGTTCCAGTACATCCCGCAGCTCCAGCTCCAGCAGCTCCTCTGGCTCTCCAAGTCCTTCTCGGCGCAGACACGACAATAGGCGGCGGTCCCGCTCCAAGTGAGCTCCTTCCCCGCACGACTTCTTGCCCAGGAGTGGTTGGTTTGGGGGGATCTCCTCCCAAGACTTGAGAATTATCTAGGGACCTAAACTTAACAGACTAGGGGCTTTAAAGTTACCTTAGTTGTTATAAAAGACTCAAAAAGGAGTCTTTTTATCTTAATAGGATTTCTGAGATGAATAATATATGTGAACTGGTAGGAAAAGCTTCCTTATGAAAAACTGTCATACTAGTGGTTAATATCCCCCACCTAAAAATTTTTGACTTGACAGATTGTTTCTGGTGTTTTTTTTTTTTAATCAGATCCAAACCACCCAAAAGAGATGAAAAGGAAAGGAAAAGGCGGAGTCCTTCCCCTAAACCCACCAAAG